GGGGGGATTGATAGGGTGACTGGGGGAGGGGGGATTGAGTCATTAACCAGGTAAAGGTGAAGGTTTCAAGGAAAACTGCTCTTTATATAGAAATAATATAAGACATGCACAATAGTTTTCTATGAAGTTTCCTTAACTATTTATAATACCTTTGAACCAGAATATCTGGCCCAACACTAACAGGACTTGACCTATGACCTCATCAGTGTGTTATGTTTAGGGACCTGAGAGTGGTACATCCTTGTGTACAAAGCTTCATCAAGATATATATTTCCAACTTTTAAAGTTACTATTTAAACAACTACTCTATTTGCACAACAGTTAATTCACCTGTTATGATGGTTTTGACATTTTGATGTAGGTGATCATGCAAAGTAGTATGTGACACACCATGGAGTGGTGATGAATATGTGTACAATATTGCTTCAAAGTATCATCATTCAAGTGAATGGTTATAATATGGACAGATTAATAACATTGAACGCTATGGTTACTTTATATAATACTTAGAAAAGAATAGGAATATTTCAAATCACACATATTGTTTACAATAGCTATCACCTGTATGGCCAGTTATTTGTAAAGATCTTTCCTTCACCTGTATGATAGATTTTTATACTTATGGAGAAAGTAAAGATCTCTAGCACAAATGTACTTACGTCAGCAGTTCCTGGCTGTCGCCGTCCTTCACTGTGACTCGCTTCTCTCTCTTTTGTACAATAACACCCTACAAACAGCATCAACCAAGGCACTATAAACAAAGTTACAAGTTCACTACATTCTGAAATAAATAGTTACTTATAAGAAAAGGGAAAGTAGGTGTCACAGGAGAAGGACCACTGGCATTTGTTTTTATATGGATATAGAAATAGCTGAGGCCATCATAGAAGACAATTGTAAAAGAGTAAGGCATCAGATTAATTAAGCTCTCACAATGCATGGCCATAAACATTTGTTGCATGCAAAACTCTTCAATAACTATTACTGCATCGGAAATAAAATGATGTATGGTGGTGCACTTTGACCAATGATAACGATATTCCATATCCAATATGTAGCACCAACAGACAATATTTTGACACAAATTCACACGAACCTTGCAGGGTTCACTCTGCAGTAAAGCAAATAGCATTTCTGCCTCCTCCACAGCAATCCTTAGCTTCTGTAGGTCTGAAGTAAAAAGTTAAATACTACATGTTCTGTGGATATATTTTCACACGTTACAAAATAAACTTTTCAAACATCTACAAACTAACAATGTAGAAGGTAATTAAATTAGATATTTAGATTCTATTGGCTCACACAGTCCAGCAAATCGTCCATTTTTGTTGTTTCAATATTTTGTAACTTTTTATTTTCAAAGCAGGATTAATGCATGTTGAAATTAGATTATGAATCCTTTTAGTTTTAGGTACTACAAATATAGCAAGCACTAGCAGCACAACTTGAAGGTCAGATACTTTGAATTATTTAATGAATACTATTCTTTCATTACTTAACTGCTTTTGCCATTACTTTAAAACAGTGTAGACATTGTAATTTGAAATGTTACCATCTTTAATGGAGAAATGTTTGCCGATCTTGGCATACTCGGGAACACCAGCTATCATCAGGCTGTGATCAATAATGGCAGGACCATAGTCTGAAAAACAAAGGTGAAGTTCCGTGTGTCTGACAGTAATTCCTGATGAAATGATAATGTTGAGTCCTCTTCATTCAAGAACACAAGTTTGATTTTCCTGCTGCTGAGAAACAACAATTCTCCTCATTTCAAAGTAAAAGTATCCATGTAATTTAGCTGTTTTACTCGTGAGCAGTGGTCTCTGCATTAATGAATCTCCACAGCTATACTGAAATATCCTCAATATCACAAAACGCTTATAACGATCAGCCAGTTTGGATTTCTGATAATCCATTACCTTATGCTTTTTGTTTGGATTCAACAAGAAACCATTTTGCTTTGTAGAATACTTTAAAAGATAATTATTGCTTTCAATAATAATTTTATACAATACCTAGGTAAACCAACATCACTTTGTGTCCTAGGCTACCTATGTTTGTTGGTCAGATTTAAACCTAAAACAGGCTAAATCCATGTCTTACCCAGATGCGACACAAGGACCTTCTTCAAGGAGTCACCCTCTTTTGCTGCAGAAAGTAGTCCCATTAACCTTCCAAGAAAAAAATTCATTAAAATTATTTTCAACAAAATCTTGTAATGAAATTTTAAACCATAACATATCTGATTAAGATTAAGTTAATTGTCTCCAAACCAACGCAATTAAACATTTGGTAGTTTTAGTGTAGTCAAATTTGAGTAGACAGTTAAATATTACTATCAGGGTAAATCGTAAACTTCTGTCTCACTCACTTTTCGTCTGTAGGAACCTCGTGTGTTTTGGTGGATGTGATGGGATACTTCTCTCGTACAGCAAATCTCACATCCTGGCTCTGGTCAGTACGGGGCCGCAGAATGTTCAAGATTGTAAACTCATAATCGGTCAGCACAACATTTCCCTGAAAAGGAATAAGTTAGAGCTGTTAACGAAAGTTTATAAGCTTTTGAAAATTCATTTTATTTCAATACAGTTAGTTTTGAAATGGTTGAGACACATTCCACTTATGAGAGTACTTAAGCTTGTATCAAAAAAACGAGTAAGTCAATTTATTCAAATCTCCTTAGGAAGAAGTCCATTTCAGATCTGGATCAAAAGGAACTAAATTCACATGTTAAAATAGAAAAATAACTTTGATGATTATGTCACTCTACAAATAAGTATTAACAATAGAAATATCACCTGCTGTGTTTTTATCAGCCTACCTTTATGTTATAAGTATTTGGTCAAACTACATGGATTAGTTTTGTTTTTTGTATGTCATCAAACTTAACATTTTCTGACCTTTAAACTGTATCACAAAAAAAAATCTCACACATTCAACATGAAGACATCACTGTTAATAACTATTCAAGTTGTAGTCAAAAAAGGAAATAATACATGTTTTCTAACTGTATTGTCCTTATCACACTTTGTTAACTTTTAATTTAATTCCGTCAAATCAGACAAACTGTTATTTTTGTTTCAATATGTACTGTACATGTACACTTCACAATAACTAAAATGTGCTCATGATAACTGTCAGCAAATGTGATTTAATTTTACTCTGATAGTGATATTTTCTTTGCTTACTCTATCATATAGTTCCAGGATGACATGATACGCAGCTTCTCCGGACCCAAACTGGAGATTAACTATCCTGTCTACACCAAGCTGTGTGATGGACTCCAAACGTCGACCTTTGATATGCTTTCTCAGCTGAATAAATAAAACATGATGATTATAACTCAGTCAAAATAACAAACAGAACTTAAAACATCTTCATTCTGAATAACACCATCTAGAATTCAGTTTTCATAACATAAATTTCATTCAATCAGTCATTTAACATTTATGACCTCCCAGTACAGTAATACAGTTTTCATTTACCTTCATGGAGAAACCCGACGGAGCCATGTTCTTTGGCCAATCAAACTCAGTGCAGTGAATTCTGATGCCAGACTCTATCAGTATAACAGCCTTTTCCTCTGGCCTGCAATGGTAATGAAAAGGTAACATAAGTGCAATAAGATTTCCTTTGATACCAAATTTTCTTTTCACCGTGTTAAAAAATGACCATTATTGAATTGTCTTATACAAAAAGCATGTGATTAATATTGTTTAAAAGAATGGAAATACATGATGCTGGGAAAATTAGTTTTTCTTTGAATTCTTCATCATATATTACAAATAAAGATATAATGAAAAAAAGGAAAATTAATTGACTTACCGTCCTAACTTGATGAGGTAGGTTTTGTTGTCAACATCATACACATTTACAACTCGCATACCATAGCACCTACAAAATCGAAGACAGAAAAAATCTTATAAGTATGGCTTCCAATTCTATACTCTCTGGGTTCTCAAAGTGTGTATTGCTATTGGTACATCTTTCAATTGTTACATGACAAAAATAGTAATTTAAAAACTGAAAAAAAAGTAATTAACAGAATAATCAACATGTGTGTTTTATATTAGCAGAAAATAAAGAGGGTGAGAAATGCTGGGGGAAATCTTTTTTTACAAAGGCAAACATTTATCATGTGATGCTTTTGTCTTACTAATTAATATGTATGCCTTACACATGTTTAGTTATAAAATATTTTATTTAATGTCACAATGTTAGTTTTTAATTAACTAGCCTTACTTGTAGGCATACATTTTAGCTGACATCTGAAATGTAGAAAAACATATACATAGACTGAGCTTACAGTATAATAAAAAAAAATGTCAAGTACTGGAAGCACCATCAAAAAAATTCATCCCAAAAAAATTGTAAGAAAGTTTCAAATGCAAGATTTGCTGGAAAATAATACATGCATGGCTTCCTTTATTACCCAGTATGCATGGTTATTAGTGATGGGCAATCCCTTTAAAATCATAATTGATGCCAGGTTCGTGATTGGAGGTAGTAAACCAAATGATGATCAATTGCATAATCGGTTTATAATTTTATAGGACTGAATACCCAAATAAAGAGAGAACACTAGCACTACTGTTTCAGCAATAGAAAGAGTTGTAAACTATACATTAGGTAGCAGTGTACAGTAGAAATGGCTTGATCCTAAAAATAAATGGCATGTCTCAGATAAAAGATAATCATGGATACTACAGGGAATTCAACCTGCATAACACACCTACATATATATATATATATATATACATATGATATCTATAAACTAGATTTTGATTGAATTACATTTGGTGTAGGAGACTGTTTTTTTTAAAAAACTGTTTTCCCCAGATTTGGGACTTGTAAAAACAATGGTTACCACATCAAAAAACAACAAAATATACAACAAAAAAGTAGTAATAATTTTCTTAAAACCTGTCTGAAATTTAATATTGCCTACTTGGTAACAGAAATACTCACATTTTAGCATAGGTCATTCTGGTCGATTTTTCACAATATTTACACATGTGCTGAGTACAAAAATAGACTACATGAAAAGCTAGCTTTTGTTGTGTGTAAAGACAGATTTGTAAATGCCCAAAACTGCTCAAACCAAATTCGTTTTTTTTTTTTTTAAATATGAAGCCCACATAGTCCACTTCATCATGTATATGCCAATTTTGATTTACAGGGGTTATTCATTGTACAATATTACCCATGGCCATCATACGCTACTGTACACTGCTACCTTACTTTTAGATTTCAAGCAACTTTCATGCAGTTTTGTCAATCATTCATATAGTAAATTCATAAGAATAAATTACTTTTAATGCATACTTTACATTGTATACATGACACTTTGATTTCAACAATGTTCTAATTTTATTGATTTTGAAATTTGTAATCAATAATTGGAATCGGAACACAAACTGATCCATTTTCAATTATAATCAATAATAAGCCCATCGTTACTGGTTATTAACCAATAAAAAGTGTTGTTTCATCTTAACATTACAAAGTGTCATTATGATTTCATTAAACTATCACTGCTTTATTATATAAGCTATCACTCAGTATCAGATGAGTACAATGTATGTACAGTACAAGTGTAACAGAGGCCATTACTTTTTCAATGCCTCCGCAAGACGTCGAACCCAGGACCTCTTGTTTACTAGTCTTACGTTCTACCGAATGAGCTAAAGAGAAATTCTCCTTAGCTCAGTCGGTAGGAAGTGGCTAGAATTTTACAAGGGTGACACAATAGTGTACATTAATAGACGACATAAAAATGTATATATATATATCTTTACAACCGAACTATAAATAGAAAATGTTTACCAGGAACATGGTAGAATCTTATCAACTAGATCACATACTATACTGGGGTACAGTACGTCACATAACCTGTTCACATTCTAAAAATGAAATTTAGTACTATATCAATGATTTCAACAATGAATTTTTTCATAATTTAAAAACGAATTAAAAACGAAACTTTTTCAGATTCTAACAGTCTACATATGATGTAGGTCTTACAGTTAGTTATAACGGTTTGACTTTTTCCTTCATCCAAACAATTTGTTACGAGACGGGGAAGGGGTCAGGAGGAGTAACTCCTATTTCATATATATAAATCATCATCAGTTTTATTTTCGTGGATATATTGATTCATATATTATTGTGTAGGGTCATTTATTACACTTGTTGGTGGACAATTGATTGATAATCGCGGGAATTGATTGATTTTATTTCTTTTGACATTCAAAATTTCAACAAGAATTCTCGCCAATATAGATCTATACTAACCTTTGAAGCTCTTTAATAACGACAGCTATGTCGATAGTACTAAATCGTGACTTCATCTTGAATTGTCTTTCTCTGTTGAGGTCTGTTTACGGGGAAAACGGTGACGAAACTTCGCACGTCATGAGGTGGTTTCACAATAAGATGCTTCCGGTTACAAAAATAAACCCAACTATATCAGCGAAGCGCTTTGAGTATGTCCCTATCTACAAAACATCTAGAACACTTTGATCATACGTCTCAATTTCGCGCCAAATAATACAAACGATTCAAACGAGGACGTGTTCATAATAACTCAGTCTGGCCCATGGAACACTGTTTAATTTGCAAATAGCACATAGACATATCAATAAAGTGGTTCAGACCAGAGATGTAATATATGTTACGTCTCTGTTCAGACTTCCAGTGGCTATCGAAAGTTAAATTAAAAAATAATACCGATAAACTGACTACTTAAACCAAATCTAGTCCAGCTAATCTACGATGTTTGTTTCCTTCAATGATGTACATCAATATTATAACAGTAAAAGCATTTATCAAAATCAACCTTAAGGACACCATGATATTTTCATCTGTTTAGGATCAGGAAAGCAATAAAACTCTATTTTTACTAGCTTTGAAGTGTGATACATATATATATAACAAGTTTCTTGTGTAAAATTGAGTATATGGAATTAAAAGTATGACGGCAGCAATAAAAGAAAAAATATGATATAGTCTTGCCGAAATTTTGCATGGAATTCTTTGCATTGGGAAATAGTAAGTGTCAATCACGGCGGAATAATATTCTCAAATGAAAGAAAAATATTTGTGTTTTTTTTGTCAAGTTGCAGTTTTGTAGAATACCATTCGCTCATCTCAATAGAAATGTAAGTTTTGTATAAATGATTAAAATCAACGTATATCCACATATATACTGTCTATTTCATTTTCATGCCTGACACACATTAAAAATAACCAACATTTAAAGTCGACCAGAACGGCTGATTCAAGAACTATAGTTTAAAGTCCAGAATGAATGCCATAGAGTCAGGTTATCATTAAAAGCTTTGGAGCTTATCAAATTATTTTCTGTGTATATAAAATTCTTAGTAGAACTTAAAATAAGGGATGAAGTAATTTTAAGGATTGCCAACTTTCTATAATAACCATAACATGCCTCTTAAAAGACTTTCAATTGAGAAAAATCAATGTAAAACAATCTGTATTTTATTAACTTAGATATATTCTCTCCCCGATAAATTACACAGAGTGGTACTGAGTATATATAGGTGACGTTTAATATAAATGTGACTTAGAAAGATGTACGACTATTTATTTGACTTCTAATTCACTGCACTAAGCAAATCACATTTATTTTACATTTTTCATGAGTTTTTTTTTCTGACAAAATCATATAGTAACCGCACAAAATCATTAAAATTAAACACTTTTTTGTTCCTCAGAATAATGGACTTTGCTTTTAATTAGTTGTGCTGTTCAGTCAAAACTGCACGACATTTAGCACAGAATGTTATGAGCCTTTCACTATGCTATCTCGGTATGCAAGTTACATATTTGGATATTTCATTCAAGTTGGGCATGAAATAATCCAAATTAGCTCAACTGCCTAACTCTGGAGTTTGATCATGGTTTGTGTGTGAAAGGAACCTTTAAACCTCATACGAAAATTATATTATGCATCTCTTCCCAAGTGAATTACACGGACGTGGATGCCGCATTTAGAACTCTCACTTTCATGGACCGGCAATGTTTACGTCACTATAGTCATATAAAACCCTAGTAAGCTACTAAAGAATAAAGTCGCCATTAGTCCCAGGCGTGTAAACGATGTTCATGCAAAGTTTATCATCAACCAAATGGTTTTTGATTGTGAACAATAGTTATACCCCTCTGTCTGGTATAGAGGTTTCAGGATGAAGTGGGGAAGGAAATGGATAACCTCACTGGCCTATAATCTACCTAACGGTGTATTTTTTAATGAAGTTACAATCTAATTAAGATAAGACTTGTAATTCCGCTCCTCTACGCTACACTTCAACAATTGTTAACTAATTTTTATAAGTTGAAAGAAGTTATTGCGAGTTTAGGCTAATTTCAGGATAATTTAGAGGATACGTTGTTTTAACCTCATGTCTTACATAACAGTACTGATATAATTTACAGCGTCTTTTGATGAAGTTATCAACATTGAATATTACTTTAAATCATGTTATTTACGTGACAATTTATTTTCAATCTATAACGACCTAAGCCCCATCATTCTCCTCCCTCCCTTGATCACCATCATTCTACTCACTCCATGGGTCCCTACAATTTTACACACTCCATGGGTCCCAATCATTCTGCACAGTCTCTGGATCACTACCATTCTACTCACTCTCTGGATCACTACCATTCTACTCACTCTCTGGATCTCTATCTTTCTACTCACTCCCTAGATGTCCTTCATTCTACTTACTCCCTAGATCTCCATCATTCAACTCACTCTCTTGATCCCTAACATTCTACTCACTTCCTTGATCCCTAACATTCTACTCACTCTCTAGATCCCTACCATTCTACTCACTCCATGGGTCCCTACCATTCAATGGTAGGGACCCATGGAGTGAGTATGATTCTACTCATTCCAAAGGTCACTACCATTCTACTCATTCCAAGGGTCACTACCATTCTACTCAATCCATGATCGCTATCATTCTACTCACTCTGTTGATCCCTAACATTCTACTCACTCTTTAGATCCCTACCATTATACTCACTCCATGGGTCCATACCATTCTACTCACTCCAAGGGTCCCTACCATTCTACTCACTTCATGAACACTACCATTCTCCTCACCACTCTACTCACCCCATGAGTCCCTACAATTCTACTCACTCCAAGGGTCCCTACCATTCTACTCACTTCATGATTACTTCCAATCTCCTCACCACTCTCCTCACCACTCTACTCGCCCCATGGGTCCCTACCATTCTACTCACTCCATGGGTCCCTACCATTCTACTTACTCCATGCGTCCCTACCATTCTACTCACTTCATGGGTCACTTAATCTCCATCATTCTACTCACTCTTTTGATCACCTTCATTCTACTCACTCTCTAGACACCTACAATTCTACTCACTCCATAGTTCCCTACCATTCTACTCAATTCATGGGTCACTTAATCTCCATCATTCTACTTACTCCATTGATCTCCATCATTCTACTTACTTCATGGGTCACTACCATTCTACTCACTTCATGGGTCACTTAATCTTCATCATTCTACTCACTCCATAGATCCCTATCATTCTACTTACTCTATGGGTCCCACCATTCTACTCACTTCATGGGTCACTTAATCTCCATAATTCTACTCACTCCATTGATCTCCATCATTCTACTCACTCCCTAGATCCATATCATTCTACTCACTCCATGATCCCTAACATTTTACTCACTTCATGAGTCCCTACCATTCTACTCTCTCCCTAGCTGGCCATCACTTTACTCACTCTCTGGAAACCCATCATTCTACTCACTCTCTAGACACCTACCATTCTACTCACTCCATGGGTCCCTACCATTCTACTTACTCCATAGTTCCCTACCATTCTACTCACTTCATGTGTCACTTAATCTCCATCATTCTACTCACTCCATAGATCCCTATCATTCTACTTACTCCATGGGTCCCATCATTCTACTCACTTCATGGGTCACTTAATCTCCATCATTCTACTCACTCCATTGATCTCCAGCATTCTACTCACTCCATGATTCCCTATCATTCTACACACTTCATGGGTCCCTACCATTCTACTCACTTCATGGGTCTCTTAATCTCCATCCCATCATTCTACTCACTTCATTGATCTCCATCATTCTACTCACTCCCTAGATCTCCATCATTCTACTCACTCCATTGATCTCAATCATTCTACTCACTCCATGATTCCCTATCATTCTACTCACTCCACGATTCCCTATCATTCTACTCACTTCATGGGTCACAACCATTCTACTCACTTCATGGGTCACTTAATCTCCATCATTCTACTCATTCCCTAGATCTCCATCATTCTACTCACTCCATTGATCTCCATCATTCTACTCACTTTCAAGATCTCCATCATTCTACTCACTCCATGGGTCACTACCATTCTACTCACTCCATGGGTCACTTGATCTCAATTAATCTCCATCATTCTACTCACTCCCTAGATCCCTATCATTCTACTCACTCCATGGGCCCCTAACATTCTACTCACTTCATGGGTCCCTACAATTCTACTCACTTCATGGGTCCCTACCATTCTACTCACTCCATGGGTCACTTAATCTCCATCATTCTACTCACTCCCTAGATCCCTATTATTCTACTCACTCCATGGGTCCCTACCATTCTACTCACTTCATGGGTCACTAAATCTCCATCATTCTACTCACTCTCTTGATCACCATCATTCTACTCACTCTCGAGACACCTACCATTCTACTAACTCCATAGATTCCTACCATTCTACTTACTTCATGGGTCACTTAATCTCCATCATTCTACTTACTCCATTGATCTCCATCATTCTACTTACTCCATGGGTCACTACCATTCTACTCACTTCATGGGTCACTTAATCTCCATCATTCTACTCACTCCAT